CGTGGTATGGTGTGGTGTGTGGTGACGTGGTATGGTGTGGTGTGTGGTGGTGTGTGGTGGCGTGGTATGGTGATGTGTGGTGTGATGTGATGGCGTGGTGTGACGTGTATGGTGGTGTGGTATGGTGTGATGTGGTGGCGTGGTATGGTGTGGTGTATGGTGGCGTGGTATGGTGTGATGTGTGGTGGCGTGGTATGGTGTGGTGTATGGTGGTGTGATATGGTGGCGTGGTGTGGTGTGGTGTGGTGTGTGGTATGTGGTGTGTGGTGGTGTGGTGGTGTGGTATGGTGTGGTATATGGTGGCGTGGTATGGTGTGGTGTGTGGTGGTGTGATATGGTGGCGTGGTGTGGTGTGGTGTGGTGTGTGTTATGTGGTGTGTGGTGGTGTGGTGGTGTGGTGTGTGGTGGTGTGTGGTGGCGTGGTATGGTGATGTGTGGTGTGATGTGGTGGCGTGGTGTGACGTGTGGTGGCGTGGTATGGTGTGGTGTATGGTGGCGTGGTATGGTGTGGTGTGTGGTGTGTGGTATGGTGTGGTGTGTGGTGGCGTGGTATGGCATGGTATGGTGTGGTGGCGTGGTGTGATGTGGTGGCGTGGTGTGGCGTGTGGTGTTGTGGTGTGGTGCGCTGAGTGGTTGTGCGCCGTGCGCCACGCTGGGTGCCTGAGCAGGGAAGCACCCCGTGGAGGTGGGCTGGTGGCAGGGCTGTGGCTGAGGCGTGGGTGGTGGAGGCCAGCCTTCAAGGAGGCCAGGGGCTGGGCTTGGCCGCAGGCCCCAGAGCTGGCCCCTGGGGCCTCCAGATGCCTCCTGAGGCTCTTGGGGTCACGCCCCTCGGGCCCCGGGACGTGGCGTCCTCAGCTGCCGCTGTCCTGGGGGGCAGCCTCTGGTGGAGCCAGCCGTCCCCGGCTTGAGCTCTGGGTGGGCTGGAAGGGGTGACGTCCCAGTGACCAGGCGTCTGGGTGGGTCTGGTGAGTCACGGGGTGGCTTCCTGGCAACGTGTGACTTTGTGCTTCCCAGTTCCCGACATCAGCCGAAACGGGGACCCCTTTGTTGCCACCTCCATTGTGGAAGCGATTGCGACTGTGGACAGGGCCATCAACTCCACGCGGACACACTTGTTTGACAGGTACGGGGCGGGCGCTGCTGGCCTCGGGTCCCCCTGCTGGGTGCGGGCGGAGAGCCCACGGCCCCGCACAGAGCTCTGCCCCGTCTGGTCCCCAGAGAAACTTGGAGGGTCACCGTCACGAAGGGCTCGGGCTCTGACTGGGGTGTTAGGAGACACAGGGACGTGTCCTTTCCTAATAGAATGTGACGCTCAGGCGCAGCCAGACGGTTTCCGTGAGGCTCAGTGGCCTGGACGAGGTGGCCCGCGCCTGCTCTGCTGGCAGAGCTGGCTGCTCTCGGCACCTGGGTTGGAATGCTCTGTGCCCTCTCTGATGCCTGATTAACGGTTTGTTTTTAGTGTCTCTTGGCTCTTGTCTGTCTGTCCTTGTTCTCTTGCCTTCCTCTTCGGATGAGTCAGGTACGGTGCCTCCTGTTGTCCAGCGTAGCACTAGATACGTAATAGCTCCAGCACGTTTGGACTCTGGCGGGTTTTGACTCCAGACCGTGTTTCATGGCACCTCTCTCCCAACTCCTGTCAGCCGGCCTCGTTCTCCAAATGACCTGCTGGCCCTGTTCCGGTACCCGAGGGACCCCTACACAGTGGGACAAGCCCGAGCGGGAGAGATCTTCGAGCGGACCCTGCAGCTCATCCAGGAGCACGTGCAGCATGGCCTGATGGTCGACCTGAACGGAACGAGTCAGTACCACGTCCCCTCGCTGCCCAGCGTCCCCACACCCCACGTGAGCCCTGAGGGCTTCGGCACCTTCCACCCCAGGCTGGCGACGGGCACACAGTGTCGGAGCTGGGGCTCTGCTTTGGGCCTAAGGGGGGCTGACCAGGCTGTAAAGGCCTGTCCAGGCTGTCTGTACCGGGTCCTCCCTGGGAGCATGATGACCCTTGGGTGGAGGCTCCAGCGGGTCCGTGCGTGGGTGCTGTGCCGTGTGGGGTGTTTGCAGATTCCCAGCGTCTGAAGAGCCAGCCCAGGCAGCGGCTGGGGGTGCCGAGTGTGAACTGCCCTCTGCCCTGCCCACCGTGGCCCTGGTGCAGGACAGAGTGTGAGTCTGTCCTGCTGGTGGCGCCGACAGTCCCCGCAGACCTCCGTCCTGCCCTGTTGCTCACCTGCACACAGAAGGAGGGACGGGGAGCAGCGGTCCCAGGCCGCGTCAGAGCGGCTTCCTGGGGTTTCTGCGTCTCCAGGCCATTTTCCACAGGCCTTTTAGCGATCATGGCAGAAGGTGACTTGGGGCTTAACATGGCTGCCCGTGAACGTGTGAGAGGAAAGAGGCGTGGGGTAGGTCTGCAGGCACCTCTCTCTGGAGCTGGGTGACGACGGGCGGTCCTCATCCTGTCCTGTCCCAGAGCTGAAGCTTCTAGGCACTGCCTGATGACAGGTGGACGGCAGCCCCTGCCTCCCTGTCCTGGGGGCGTCCAGCCTCCCTGCTGGAGGCCTGGGAAGAGGGAACAGCCTGGTGTTCCAGGTGGGACTGCAGCTGCATGTCTCCTTCCACCAGGGTCTGGGCACCTCTGCTGCTGGGCACAGCTCGGGGTGGGTGTGGCAGAGGCCGTGTGTTCTTGGGCACCCCAGCCCCCCCTAGGCTCAGGTGTGGCTCCTCTGTTCATGGCCTGTCGTTCTCGGGGAGCACAAGGAGACGGTTGCCAGACGTCACCGCTGGCTGCCGGCTGCCTTTCTCACCCCGAGCCTGGAACGCCCCGTGGCCCTGCACGACCAGCCCCTGGGGATGCCAGCTGCACATCTGCCCTGTTCAGATCTGCTCAGCTCCCTGCCAGTTCCGTCTGTCTCCGTGCTAGTTAGGGAAAGGGCTGGGAAGGCACAAATCCCAGCACCCCCACGGCCCCACCACACTGGCCTTTCCTCTGAGTGGCAGCTGGAGCTGTCCTCACCGTGGCCCAGCACTCCTGATAAGCACAGGCGCTAAGCCAGGAGACCAGCACCGGGGAACTGCCCGGGCAGCGGCGGCAGGCAGCCCTGCTGGGGGCAGGCCCACTCCAGAGCGAAGATGGTACTTGATGGGGGACCCAAAAGAGGAGAGGCCTCCTGGGATGAGGGGACAGCAGGGGCCCAGGCTGCGAGGCAGGACGTGGGCAAGTCAGTGTGGCCGGAGCAGAGGTGACGGTGCAGAAGGGGTGGGGAGGCTGTCGCCTGCCAGGAAGGGGCTCAGAGCCACCAGGTTTTCCAGCAGAGAAACGGGATGGTCCTCCATGCTGTGGTGCCTGGCAGGGGGCGGGGGCGCAGGCAGCCCAGCCCTGAGAAGCCAAGCGGGGATCTCTACTGCTGTCTGCTGGGGCTGCCAGGACCTCTGCCCGTGGCCAGTGCCAGGGAAAAGGTGAGCATGCTCCAGGCAAGCCCGAGGCCCACGCTGCAGCAGAGACGTGTGGAAGGAAGACTTTCCTTCTTGGCTCTTTGGTTTTTTGGTGCTTCTGAGGTTCAAGACTGAGGGTTTTCTAGACTCCCTGGCTGTAGCTGTGAAAGCAGCCAGGCTTGGTTCTTCTCTGCGGGAGATGTACACTGTGGAGGGGCAGGGAGGCAGGTAGGCTGCATCCCCTCTGCTCTCCCTGAGCTCCGGGGTTTCTGAGAGCTCCTCCCCTCCCTGGCCCAGGAAGCCTCCCCAGGTTCCTTCACGCCACCTGCTATGTGTTCTGGGTGCCATTTCCTACAGACACTAGCAGTCTCCTTTCCTCTAAGGCCGTGTGGACACTGCAGCAGAGCTGGAAACGTGGAGTCTTGGCTCAGTACTCAGCAAGTGTGTGAATCCTGTCTCCCTGTGTCTGGATATGTGCATGTGTGCACAGTGTGAGCAAGAGTGCATGCCTGTATCCGTGTCTCTTGCATGTGTGTGAGCAACAGTGTATATCCTGTGCCCTCTCTGAATATGTGCACATGCCCACGTGTAAGCACGAGTACATGCCTTCCCAGACCCAGTGGCCACACTATCATCTCAGCAGCTCAGGAGACTAATGCAGGAAGATCACAAGTTCAAGGCCAGCCTCAGCAACTTAGTAAGACCCTGACTCAAAAAACAAAAAGGGCTGGGGCTGGGCTTGTGGCTCAGTGGCAGAGCGCTTGCCTGGCATGTGTGAGGCACTGGGTTTGGTTCTCAGCCCCACATATAAATAAATAAATAGAAGAAAGGTCCATTGACAACTAAAAACATACTAAAAGTAAAAAGGGCTGGGGATGTGGCTCAATGGTTAAGTGCCACTGGGTTTAGTCCAAGGTTCAAAATAAAAAGAATGCATGTCTGTGTCAGTGTGTCAGAATATGTGTATGCGAGCATGTGAGCAAGAGTGTGTATTCTGCGCAGTGTCTGGATGTGTGTCCATGGGAACAAGCGCATGTCTGTGTCAGTGTCTGGTTATGTGCATGTGTGCGTGTGTGAGCAGGCCTGTGAGCCCGTGTATCCAAGTGTGCCTGTGTGTATATAGATGTGCACACGAATGTGCTCACACAATGGTGCCAGTGTGGAGGGATGTTTGTGCATGTGTGCACATGTAAAGTTCACATGTGTGGTTCAGTGTGCTCACACGTGAGGGTGTCAGCATGCCCGTGCTGGCATGATCTGTGAGAACACGTGCGTGCCTTGTGCCGGCTTTCTGGCAGATCCCAGGCACGCTCCGGGGAGAGGAGCGTTGAGGAAGCCTTGCGAGTGTTCGGGCAGTTTGGGAACATGAGCTCTGAGTGAGCAGAGTCTGAGGGAAGACTGGGGCCCTCGCTTAGGAAGAGCCGTCCCCTGCGTCACTTGCCTGGTGGGCAAGTCTGCACTCCTGCAGCTGGGAGGTGGGCTGAAGGTCTCTGAGGGGCCCAGGGACCCTCTGGAGCCAGCGCCTAGACCAGATGGAGGGCTATCTGTGCTAGGGCTCGCCAAGAGGAGGCTCTCGGAACTGAGGCAAGCATCGAGGATCTGCCTCTGGGTCACACTGGAGCAGTGGTGAGGAGGGCGTGTCCTAGGGGTGTGGGTGGCAGTCGATGGCCTTCGGTTGTGCAGTGACGGGCCTGGGGAGTGGCCTGCCAGTGAGCAGGAGTCAGCGGTGTTCAGTGGTCTTGGGGTGTACTTCTTGCCTGTTCTCCCCAAGTAGCTGCAAGCTGGGCCACATGGGAGAAGAGAGAAAATGGGAAGGTGCAGGTGGCCCCGCTCTGTCAGCGTCACCACAGTGGAGCTGGCATGGAGGCCCCAGGCCCGTGAGGGCTTCATGACCAGGAACCGCAGGGGCACTGGGCGGAGCTCTACCCAAAGGCCAGAGGGGGCTGCGAGAGGCCCACACCCCCTCAGGAGGTAAGCACTGCCTGTGTTGCAGGTTATCACTACAACGACCTGGTGTCCCCGCAGTACCTGAGCCTCATCGCCAACTTGTCAGGCTGCACCGCCCACCGGCGTGTGAACAACTGCTCCGACATGTGCTTCCACCAGAAGTACCGGACCCACGACGGCACCTGCAACAACCTGCAGCACCCCATGTGGGGCGCCTCGCTCACGGCCTTCGAGCGCCTGCTGACCGCCGTGTACGAGAACGGCTTCAACACGCCCCGCGGCGTCAACCCCCAGCGGCTCTACAACGGGCACGTGCTCCCCATGCCCCGCCTGGTGTCCACCACGCTGATCGGCACGGAGGCGGTCACGGCGGACGAGCAGTTCACGCACATGCTGATGCAGTGGGGCCAGTTCCTGGACCACGACCTGGACTCCACGGTGGTGGCCCTGAGCCAGGCCCGCTTCTCCGACGGGCAGCACTGCAGCTCCGTGTGCAGCAACGACCCCCCCTGCTTCTCCGTCATGATCCCACCCAATGACCCCCGCGTGCGCAGCGGTGCCCGCTGCATGTTCTTTGTGCGCTCCAGCCCCGTGTGCGGCAGCGGCATGACGTCCCTGCTCATGAACTCCGTGTACCCCCGGGAGCAGATCAACCAGCTCACCTCCTACATCGACGCGTCCAATGTGTACGGCAGCTCGGACCACGAGGCCCGCAGCATCCGGGACCTGGCCAGCCACCGCGGCCTGCTGCGGCAGGGCATCGTGCAGCGCTCCGGGAAGCCCCTGCTGCCCTTCGCCACCGGACCCCCCACCGAGTGCATGAGGGATGAGAATGAGAGCCCTATCCCCTGCTTCCTGGCTGGGGACCACCGCGCCAACGAGCAGCTGGGCCTGACCAGCATGCACACGCTGTGGTTCCGTGAGCACAACCGCATCGCCACAGAGTTGCTGAAGCTGAACCCGCACTGGGACGGGGACACCATCTACCATGAGACCCGCAAGATCGTGGGGGCAGAGATCCAGCACATCACCTACCAGCACTGGCTGCCCAAAGTCCTGGGGGAGGTGGGCATGAAGATGCTGGGCGAGTACCGGGGCTACGACCCCAACGTCAACGCTGGTATCTTCAATGCTTTCGCCACCGCCGCCTTCAGGTTTGGCCACACGCTCATCAATCCCGTGCTCCAGAGGCTGGACGAGAACTTCCAGCCCATCGCGCAGGGCCACATCCCCCTCCACAAGGCCTTCTTCTCACCCTTCCGGATCGTGAACGAGGGGGGCATCGATCCACTGCTCAGGGGTCTCTTCGGGGTGGCAGGGAAGATGCGTGTGCCCTCTCAGCTGCTGAACACGGAGCTCACAGAGCGGCTCTTCTCCATGGCGCACACAGTGGCCCTCGACCTGGCTGCCATCAACATCCAGCGTGGCCGGGACCACGGCATCCCGCCCTACCATGACTACAGGGTCTACTGCAACCTGTCCGCCGCCCACACCTTTGAGGACCTGAAGAACGAGATCAAGAACCCTGAGATCCGCGAGAAGCTGCGAAGGTGAGCTCTGGGAAGCCGCTGCCCTGGCTCCTGTGTGGGCACCAGTGTGACTGGCCACGGGCTGTGCTGCTGTTGTGTGTGTGTGGCACCGCACGGGGGTGAGAGGAGAGCGCCATTGGCCACCCAGTGTAGGGGGCGTGAGGGCGGAGCCCGCAGGTCTTCGCTGCCCAGCTGCCCAGCCTGCTCAGGAGGTGAGCTTTGCTGAGCCAGGACAAGCTCCCAGTGAGTTGACCCAGTTGTGCTTCTAGCCAGGGTGTGGCTGGACTGAAGGGCCAATTACCCTAGAAAGTTCCAGAACTGAGGCTGTGCTGAGCAACTCAGGCAGGTGGATCTGGCTTTCCTGCAGCCCCTCCACTTGCCAGGAGTCCCCACCAAGTGCCCTCTCTGAGCAGCAGCGGTCTTGGGGACATGGGCCACAGATAGGCCTTCACCTGGGCACAGGAAGCTGTCAGGCTTGGCACACCTCTGAGCACTCGGGCAGCCCATGGGAAGTTCCTGGGCACAGAGGGGATGGAAGAAGACAGACCAGGAGGGAGCCAGTCCTCTGGGGAAGTCTGCAGGCGGCTGGCCCCTGCAGTCCAATGGGTGCCCTGTCCAGCACAGACCAGCAGCTTCCCACCGAGGTGCTGGACCTCCAGGGTGCCTGGATGTGGAACAGAGAGCGCAGCTGTGTCCTGCAGGCCCCTGGGAGCTGGGGCTGGAGCAGAGCGTGCTTGTGCCCACGGAGGAGGCCACTGGTGTGCCTGCTGCTGACCAGAGGCAGAGGCCCTGGCTACATGTGCCTCCTGTGTGCGCTGTGGGGAGGGCAGTGGGATCCCAGACCTTTAGGACTCCAGTGAGCCTGGAACCATGGCTCCTGTTGACCAGCACAGCCTTTGGAGACCGTGAAACCTGGGACGTGAGCGACCTGAGGAAGTCATCAGTGTTCGTTCGTAAGCCAGTATTTCTGAGGAATTGGAAGAATTTGGTAAAGAAGTTCGTAATCTGACACTTCGGCTTCCTCCTAGTCCTTTGGCATCTTTGTTAGAAAACATTTCATTATGGCAGATATATTTCCAATGTATGGCAGAATGCAGTTCCAGTCTGTTAAAGCTGTGGCTGTGGCTACATTCTGGTCCTTGTCCATACATCCATGGACAGAGGCCCGGCAGGCATAGTGGATGGTGGGTTTTCCCTGCAGAGCAGCGGGGTGTGTGGTTCAATTTGCTTTCTTGGGTTTTTCAAATCTTTGATAGATAAGTTGGGGCCTGTACATTTTACACCCACAAAATACAAAGTAGGAAAAAGCCTTCACAGTATAATGGATCTATGTTTTAAAGAAATCAAGGTGAATTTGTTTGTGAAGTATAGTTATGAATAATGTAAAGTAGTGAAAGAAAAGAGGAGGACGTTTGCATCTGCTGTGTTTCCTGCCGCGTGCAGCCCTGTTAGGTAAGGGACCTGCCTCTCTGTTGCAGACTGTACGGCTCCACCCTCAACATCGACCTGTTCCCGGCCCTCATGGTGGAGGACCTGGTTCCTGGCAGCCGCCTGGGGCCCACTCTGATGTGCCTGCTCAGCACTCAGTTCCGGCGCCTGCGGGATGGGGACAGGTGAGCGCAGATGCCCTGCAGAGCCTGCCGTGACCACCAGAGACACAGAGACCCACCCTGGCTGAGAAGGAAAAGCCACACCCTGGTGGACCTCCTTAGGCTAGCCACACCTGGCCAGGTGCCCTGAGTCCCCAGCCTGAGGGGCAGGATTCAGCTCCTGGAAGCCTGTGGGTGCACCCATGCAGTTCTGCCCCTGTGGACCTCAGAGCAGCTGAGCTTCTGGCTGGCCCTCTCTGCGACTTAGGCTGGCGTCCTTAGTGTACTTGGCTGCCTGGGAGGCGGCCCACCCTCCCTGTTCCTTAGTAACTCTGCAGACGGCTTGCAGATATCCTTGTTTTGTAAGTGGCCTGACCCCGTGTTGCTGCCCCGGCAGCTGGCAGGCGGCCTCCAGTGTTCGGGGTTCTTCGTCCGCTTTGTTTGGGGAGAAGCGTGAGCAGCTGCGGCTCTTGGCCAGCTCCCTGCTGCTGGAGAGACAGCTCAGCCCACTCCTGGGTCCCGGGCGTCCCTTCCTGCTTCTGACCTCACGTCTCTGCCCCTGCAGGTTGTGGTATGAAAACCCCGGGGTGTTCTCCCCCGCCCAGCTGACGCAGCTCAAGCAGACGTCCCTGGCCAGGATCCTCTGCGACAACTCAGACAACATCACCCGTGTGCCAGGGGACGTGTTCCGGGTGGCTGAGTTCCCACATGGCTATGGCAGCTGCGAGGACATCCCCCGCGTGGACCTGCGGGTGTGGCAGGACTGCTGCGAAGGTGCGTGGGGGCCCACGCTGCCCGCCCCACTCCTGCGTTTCCAGTGTCCGGCCAAGGGCAGCCCGACAGTGTGGGGGGGTATGGGCACGGGTGGGGTAGCCCACTGGCCCACATGTCCCGAGACGCTCCCTAGGAGCTCTCACCTCACACACCCCGAGGGCTGTGCCCACGCGGCAGGTCTGGGCAGCCGCTCCTCCTGGCCTCGGTGCCATCAAGAGACATGGCCACAGGAGATTGGGCGGCTGCTGCCAGGCAGCACAATCTCCCGGCAGACCTGAGGAACAGGGCACAGGGTGCAATAACAGCTGGAGGTCGTCTGTGCAGACGCAGACTGCAGCACGCCAGTGAGGGTCCCTGCCTGGCGCTGGGAAATGTGCCCAGGACGGACCCCACGCCACCCCCCACACTGCCTCGCCCTGCCTGTCACAGTGGCCAGGGGATCCGTGGGCCCAGTGTCCACAGTGACCACAGCACTGGGAGGAGTGCAGGCACAGTGCTCCTCAGGCCTGGCTGGTCTCCCTGTAGAGCCTGGTGAGTGTCTGAACACAAGCGCCCCTGAGCGAAGTCCAGCCTCGGAGCAGGTGGAGAAGGGCACGTGGAGGCAGCCTGGCACCCGCACCCTAAAAGAGTGGGGCTGCCCCTCATGCTGGCCAGGCTGCCCTCGTGGAGCCTGCACAGCAGGTGGGCTCAGGAGGAGCACAGAGTTCAGAAGCTGGCCACCCCCCCTCCTGCTGCCTGGACGCAGGTGCAGCAGGTGTTGGATGGTCC